CCTGTGACTCATAGAAATAGGGAGACCCACTTGTGAACCTTCTAATGGAAAAATCTTTTCCCCCCTTTGACGAGCCTTCCTACTTGACTACATTACACTTTTAGCTTGATCTCTGCAAAGAAAAGGGCTGGACACTTACTTTTTTTTTTTAATGAAAACTATAGTCCAGCAATCATGTGATGTCCTATTTGCAGATTGTCAGAGCTAACTTTCCTGGCAACGTTACAGAATGAAATTTAAATAACTCTTAAAATCAGATTTTAAAAACTACCTTTTGGACTTGGGTATCTCAGCTAAGGGAATTCAGTAAAGTAAATGTTAGCACTGCCCTTTCTTTCAGAATGATGTGGAACGCTGGACAGCTCTAGTTAGGATGTCGTAAATCAGAACCCCCTTGTCATATTTGCATCAGAGTTAGAAAAAAACTAAAAATCTACCTCATCCACAGATATAACAGATAATTTCGAAGGTGATATGCCTCATGGGGCAGAGTGTGGGGGGAGTGTGGATTTTATCAAGGAAGTGAGGAGACAAAACTGCATTTAAAATGGAAACTCAGTTGCAGCCTTGCCTTTGGAATGGCTGTCCCTGTTCTGTAATGTTTCCCCCAATGGGTTCCTGTTGATAAGTGCATACAAACAGGATACAAAGTGGCACAACTGTCTCTAATAGCAACCAGCACACTTCTGTTTGTCTTCAATGCTCTGAAGGAACTTGCAGTTTACTGTGGGACATAGTCCCTTCTCCCAGACTATTTCATATACCAGGGGTGGGGAACCTAAGGCCTGGGTGCCAGATGCAGCCCCAGCTTGCCTGGAGCCAGCCCAAGGCTCAGCACTACCCCCAGCATTGGGGAGCCCATGCTGTTGAGGAGTGGGGGGGGTTGTTTGTTTCTCTCTTGTGTGCAGCCCCCAACTGATTTTTCTGTGGGTCGGTGGCCCTGACCCAAAAAAGGTTCCCCACACCTCTCATATACACATCTGTCCCCTCTATATAGGTTCTTAAACTGTCCTCATCAACGTAGCCTCTGAGCGCTTTCCAGTGACGTATTATACTTTGTTACTAACATTTGTTAAATGTTCTCCTCTCCCCTGCTGGGAGAGTGAGAGAATGTGTGCAATAGGAGGAGTGTCTTGATGAAGTGGGATTTGGGGGGCTTTGTTTGATCGATGCATACACTGCTCTGCGCTTGGAAACAAAGGTGGTGAGGTTTGCAGTGGTCCTTAGCTCCTAAGGCAGTTCATGCCACTGTCTAGGGCCAGCAGCCGAGAAAGCTCTGTCATCTGCATAGATAGGCTTTATCTCTGTGGCAGAAAGGCCCATTGTATGATATATACACACGGGACACTCAACACCGACATGAGATTGAGCTGGTGGGACTCATGGTCATAAGAGTGAACCCTTGGCTGAAAGATGACCCCATGGGCAGAACTTGTCGGGACTACCCACAAAGAAACCTTATCCGCCTCCAAACTGACTGGTTAGATCTGAGGCCAAGAACAGAATTTTTTGCAACATCTCTGCATGGAACTCAGGATGAGTCAGGCTCCCTAACAATATGAAAGAGTTACCTGAGTGCCGCCCCTGATCATGTGCATGGAAATGGCATATCTCTGTTGATTAAAGTTCTTTTGCAAAGATCAGACAGAATGTGTAACTGGACTGTCTCTTCAATGGCCGACTTCTATGGCGTGGTGCATTACTGGTTGGTAAAACACATTGGTATGGAATAATCACTGTGTGACACTTTGTAAAGCAGGTGTATCTCTGTTGATGTCAGAGGTGTTACATGGGTATAGAACTTTGATTAGTCAGTGGTGAGTCAGGTCTCTAGTCTTTTGGGGCCAAAGTTAGAGCCCTGTCTAGAACCCATATACACATGACTAGTACTCTTAGGGGCTTGTGACAGAGCACTCTATTCGCTGCTTGTTACCATCTCCTCCTGGCAGCTGTGGGGATTAGCTCTGCCAGGCTAACACCCCTTCCTAATAGTTGCACCCTTTCACAGTCTCTCTCACCTGTAGCCCTTCTGTCTCTCCAGGAACTGCAGTTTCCTTTTTGTGGCTCAGCCTTCCATCCAGGTGTGACGTAGTGGGGGTACTTGCTGGGCTGTGGTGACCCCTGCTGTCTGGAGCAAGACCCAGCAGGGAAAACCTCGCTAGGCAGAGGTAATGCCAAACTTGTTGAACCAGTGGCCAGACACCCCCCATGGAGAGGAACAAAGGAAGGTGGAATGCTGCCCTGACTGGGGGGCAGGGCTGCAAGGGAATTTAGTTAGTTACTGTGGGAGAGCATGGAGGAGAGCCTAGGAGAAGGGGCTGGAGTTTAGGGGCCCAGTCTCCCCCATCTCAAGGGGGCCTGAGGCATCCTAGCCCAGCTCTGTGACCAGACTACATCTGTGCTGTGCTGTATCCTGGAGAGGCAATAAACTTCCTCTATTCCACGGGCTGGTGCAGTCTGTTTGTGCCATTTCGGGGTGCAGGAGACGGGGAACCCCCAACGCGCCGTCACACCAGGTCTCTACTTAGTTTCCCCTTCCAGGGTGTTTTTCAGAGTCTCTCTCCATAAGCAGGCCTCATAGGCACTAACCTGGCTGTGTCACTCCTGCAGTAACCACAGCAGTCTCCTTAGTCACTGCCCTGTAGTGATACCTCTTCACAGTGGTTGGCAGAGGAACCCAGGCCCACCCTCTGCTTTTTAGGGAACACTCCAGGTTTCTGCAATGAACAGTTAAGGTCTGCATCTACACAGCCTTATTGCTCTCACTTCCAGACTCCTTCCTACCATCCTTCCTGTGCTTCTCCTCTGCAGGGAGAGGGGCCACATGCTTTCTCTATGCTGCTCCCCACACTTATGCTAGCCTGTTGTCTTTATAGAAGCCTTACCCATTCCCTCACAGGTGCACTTCCTTCTCATTGGCCCCCTCCACAGAGCCTAGGGCCTTGTCTACACTACCTTTTGCCCACAAAACAGGGGAGGTGTCCACACTACAGCTACTTTTGGCGGCAAAACTCTGCTGCTTTGCTGACAAGAGTCATAAGACATTTTTGTGGCAAAGTTAAAGCAACAAAGCATCAGCGTAGATGCTGCTGTTTATTTTGTCAACAGAGCAGGCTCCCACAGGTATCTCACCATGGCCACAGTGACTGTTCCGCTCAGTGTTTTGTCATCTGTGCTGCCCTGCAGTCATGCGCCCCTGCCCTGTCAAAGCTCCACGAAGTATCTGACAGCTGAGCGTGCTAGCTAATCATTGATGTGGAATGTTCCTGATCTGCCCTAGCCTAGGAACACAGGGGAAGGCAGATTGCTGCTGCAGGGATGGGGTGGGAACAGACAGAAATTCCACAGCACAGAGAGCTCACAGAGCTGCTCAGGACACCACTCCCAGAGGACTCAGAGGCTACATCTATACTACGAGTTTTCTGGACAAAAAATATGCTAACGAGGGACTCATTTGCATGAGTCACAATCTCATTTCATAGAATCATAGAACCATAGAGCTGGAAGGGACCTCAGAAGGCCATCAACTCCAGCCCCACAGGACCAATCTCAATTGGATCCCAAGATCCTTATGCCCCAGTAAAGGATGTTTTTGCACAAAAAGAAAACGTCCACACTGCTTGTTTTTGTGCAAAAACTCCAGCACAAAAACGGATTGGCAGAAAACATGCAAATGAGATCACAACTCATGCAAATGAGTCCCTCAATAGCATATTTTCTGCCAAGAAAACTCATAGTGTAGACATAGTCAGAGGGTATCACAAAACCATAGGCAGACAGGTAGAGCAAGCCGCTTTTGTGAGAGACTACTATGTCATGCAGAGCTGGGGTACTTATGTCCCTCAGCGGGGGGTTTTTCACACCCCTGAGCAACATATGTGATACTGACAAAATGAAAGTGTAGATATGGCCTTATTCTGTTATCAGATCAATGGAGTCCCATTTGTGCCACCTCTGGAGTAGGAATGTATTTGACAGAGAAGCAACTAATAGCAGAGACAGAGAAGTCTTGCATGGAAAAAGTCTGGTAACAGCCAGAGAATGCTTAAGCTGAGTTCTGTGGTACCTTGCTATGAAAGTTAACGGTCAAATCCAAGTAGAGGGGGGAAAGTTTGGTGTCTGTTCTCTACTGGGAGTTGCATGATGGCTTACAATGAAAATACAGCACATCAGCCGGCCCATGTCCCATCTTTAATGCTGCTGAGCTCCTTTATGAAAAGTGTTCTTCCTTTTACCCTTTCATTTTAATCTGGGTGCAAGGCAAGAATGAGCCCTCTATGGACCATTTCCACAGCAAGCTGCAAGACTCAACTTTACTCAGAAGCCTTCTGTAACAATTTAAGGCAACTGCACCTGTATTTATCCCATGGTTGAAATCTTGGGACTCTAGAACAAGTTATCAGCCAACAATCACTCTCTCCTCAGGGCATAGCTTCAAAGGCTGGGTTTTTGAATACTTGGGGGGGGGGTAATTTGCATACAGCCACAGGAAATACACTTCAAGTGTTTTATCCCAGAAGTTGATTCTTTATGAGCCACATCATCCAATACACTATCGAAGCCCATAGTACTTTTGCATTTAATACAATGGACTCTAAAAGTCTTAAACTTATTTCAATAAGATTTTCCCCAAGATTGTGTAGAAAATTGCCATATCCCACACTCACTCTCTCAATAACAAAAGCTAAAGAATAACCTGAAGACAGAGTAGGACGAATAAGAAAGGGGAGACTTTTATGAACTATTTCAATGTAGTCTTCATTTTTAATCTGAAACTGATTGCAGCCTGTATACTGAGGGGTGCATCAGAAATATTTTAG